AGTATTTTAACTTAGTGGTCTAAGGAAATGATTTAAAATTTTGATTTTTATAATTACCTTTTTGAGAGATCTGTTCAGAATTACAGTGATCTAACAGGGGTTAGTGGTAACTTTGGTTTAGGCACTATTCTAAGGGTTTTGTTTGCTTTCTCTATGAGGTTAGGTCTCATTTGCCTCATTTTATAGATGAGAAAATTAAGGTTAAGAATCTTGCCCAAAGTTGTCCCTGGTAACGGGGTTGAACTAGAACAGTCTGTCTCCTCCTAAAGAGCATGATCTTATCCAGTTCCCTAGGCTGCCTCCACAGTTTTCAGAGGGTTAATTTATTCAATTAATGTAGATATTCTTTATTGTTAAATAGCACCAGACACTCTTTGAGGAGTGGGAGACAAGATAGGGAGCAAACCAGTCTCTGCTGGCCTGGTGCGTGTGCCCCGGGGACAGAGGAAGGAATAAGTAAATACATAATATATCAGATATAAGTAAATGCTGTGAACAATGATGCAGAGAGCATGGGGCGAGAATGAGTTACAAAATGGATGAGTCCAAATTCTAACACAGTGGCAGTGGAGACACACTCAGAGCCTGCGATTCCTGGAAGATGGATGGGAAAGTGCTGTCAGGAAGCAGCCCTGTGAGGAAGTGAAGGCAGCAGGCCTGGGCACAGGAATGGGACCATAGGGTGGTGGCCTCTGAGCCCCAGCGGGTCCTGCAGCGAGCGGCAGGTGAGAGGACTCGCAGGGTTGTCCAAATTGCTGCAAAGCCCACGGCAAAGTCACTGAGGCCACGGGCAATGCCCAGTAAGGGGGACTTTTTAGCGTGTTGGGTTGTTTCTGGACAGTGTGTATTTCCTCTCAAGCCTCTCTTGTCGGGTTATTGGCTGAGTCCTAAGAATAAACTGCCTAAGCCTTCGTTCTTCAGTGTTACCAGCCAGGATAATAATAGCTCTGCTGGAAGTGTTGCTGTAAGGATGAGAATGATAAGTAGGGATCAATGACCTTATGAAAACATGAGGGAGATGAAGTAAGTTAGGGTCATCTGCACTGCAGAATAGTATTGATCATGAGTGACAAATAAACGATCTGGAACAACCTGAACTGATGGGGGGACAAGACATATCAAAAAAACAACATAGGATAGGACCACGCATATCATATGGTAGCATTTATTTTTTTGTATCTATACAGAAAGATAAATATACACATCAAAGTGTGACTGCAAGTGCTGGAGTCCATCAGGAGGGTGGGGGCTGGGAGAGGCAGGGCTGGGGCTGACCTTGCTTAGACAAGAGGACATGTGGACAGGAGGATGGGCATAGACGGGGTTGCAGGCAGGTGTGATGGGGAGGGTGGCAGAAAACAAATCTGGGTGGGACTTCAGAGATAATTTACTCTTCAGTGTTGCATGTGTTCTGAAGTCAGCAAATCTGAGTTCAAGTCCCTGCTCCACCAGGAATCAGCTGATGGACCTTGGGCAAGGCTGTGTCTCTGAAGCTCAGTTTCTTCATCTGTAAAATGGAGATAATAACACCCACTTTGAAGAGCTGTTGTTAAGATCAAACCTGATTGCCTTAGACACTCATTTGCAGGGGACACTGTCATTAGCCCAAAGTGGTCACTTGACATTCCTTCTCCTTCCAAACAAGGGGTCAGGTGTCGGAAGAGCGGCTTCCCTGGGCCGAAAGGCCACTGAAGGGTGACCCAGCTCCCCAAGGGAGCAGGCTTTCTGTCCCTCTACTCCCACATAATGAGATGGGAAGTTGATATACCTTTAACTCTTCTCCTTATACATTAGTGGTTCACTTAATTCATCTTTTTTCATCAAACTATGCATACATATATTTTTATATTTTTATTTTTTTAAATATATTTCTTTATTGATTTCAGAGAGGAAATGAGAAGGAGAGAGATAGAAACAACAATGATAAGGGAGAATCATTGATTGGCTGCCTCCTGCACTCCCCCTACTAGGGATCAAGCCTGCAACCCAGACATGTGCCCTTGGCCGGAATTGAACCTGGGACCCTTCAGTCTGCAGGCTGATGCTCTATCCACTGATACAACCAGCCAGGGCCATATACTTTTTTCAAAGAGAGAAAGAGAGAGGATAAGAGTACCAAGAGGCTTCTAATAAAACACAGCAAGCCCTTCTCCATCCCTTGGTTTCATATTCAAAGGCAATCTTATTTAAGCTTTCTTAACAGATGGTTACCTCCATATTTCTAAACAATATGCTTATTTTACTATCTTCTGTTATACAAATTTAGACACCAACTATTGTCATTCTGTTCTGATTCAAGTATTTAACATTATTATTTTGTAATCCTCACCCAAGGATATGTTTATTGATTTTAGAGAGAGAGGAAGGGGGAGAGAGATAGGGATGGGGGAGAGAGATAGGGATGAGAGAGAAACATTGAAGTGAGAGAGAAACAAACACTGATGTGAAAGAAACATCAGTCGCTTGCCTGAGGCATACTGAGAATTGAATCTCCAACTTTTTGGTGTACAGGACAATACTCCAACCACCTGGCTGGGACTCAAGTATTTAGCATTATTATACCACCCTCTCATCCCTAACCTTCTCCATAGTTTTAGGTTAACTGAAAATTAGGGTTAGCATTATAATAGTTTATTTTTTTTTTAATTTTTCATCAGCTCTTTCATCTACCTATCCTTTGATTATCGTTTTAAAACATTCTCATATTGGATACTGTATCTATGTTATTACCTCTTTTTTCTGCTTTAGTATGGAGACATCTCTCCAGGACTTCCGGCCTGCTGCTCAGATCAGATGGCTGTCTCTAGGCCAGCTGCACAGCTGCCACCTGGAGCATTCTCCTTGTTGCTCTCCCAGGTAGAATCCTCTGTTGCATGGGTTTCACATATTCTCTCTCCTTAGTTTTTAGACACATCCTTCAAAAAGAAACTTGGTGGGAGACATGTAAGTTTTCTCTTTATATCATCCCCTGGATTCCATGTGTATTTGCATTGTCAAATAGAAAAACACTTTCTTCCTGGTAAGATGCTTCACAGATTTGAAGGTATAACCAAGTCTAACATACTAATCCGTTTATTTAACAAACTATGGGCTAGAACCAATGCCCCTTTTCAAGGATCTGAAGTCAGTAAGGCAGAGATGTTGCTCTCAAGATTTTTTGGGGGGCCCTGGCCAGAATGGCTCAGTTGGTTGAGCATTGTCCTATGCACTGAAAGGTTACCAGTTTGATTCCCAGTCAGGGTACATAGACAGGTTGCAGGGTCAATCCCTAGTTGGGGGGCATATGGGTGTCAACCAATCAAGGTTCCTCTCACATTGATGTTTCTCTCTCTCTCTCTCTCTCTCTCTCTCTCTCTCTCTCTCTCTCTCTCTCTCTCTCCCGTCCTTCCCCTCCTCTCTTTCTCTTTTTCTAAAAATAATCAGTACAAACATATTTTAAAAAAACATATTCATGGAGAATATGTAAACATGCAATGGCATACTGTGATCAATGCTATAGTAGATAGTAGAAATGCCATAAGGTGCTAAAATACTATGTAAAGGAAAAACCAAAAATACAGAACTTAGTCCAGTTTGGAGAGCTCTTAAAAGGCTTCCGAGAATTGGGACTGCCTAAATTGAGCCCCCACAATGAGAACGCAGGTTTACTTATTTATATACTGTATGGTTTAAAAAATGGATCTAAGATATTTTTCAAAATGCTCATAACTGTTCTGGTATACTACAATTCTTCAGGCTCCCAAGCTGTGTCTAGATTTAACTAACCTTCTGGGTTTCAACAAGTTTCCTGGTGATCTGAATAGTGCCTGCTGTATAGAAGGCTCTTACTATGCAATTGCTGGAAGTCAGATATGGCATCATAAATCAGTGGAGGTTTAAAAAAAAAACCTTTGATAAATGGGTCTGGGATAGCTTTACCATGAGCCCATATAAGAAGTAATAAAATTAGTTCCTTGCTTTATCTCATTTACAAAAATAAATTCTAGATGCACGAAGATTAAAAACTTTAAAACTTTTTGGAGACAATACAAGAGAATAAATATCTTTATGACATCAGAGAAGGGAAAGATTACTTACATAGGACACAATGTATAAATTATAACATAAAGATTGATAAATCTTCTGTAAAACAAAACACACTTATCACAGGGTATTGTCAAAAATTTCTCTTCCACCAACTTTTGAAGGTCAATGTTTGTCAGTCTGATAGAATTTGATTCCAAATGTAACCTTGCCATTTACTAGCTATGTGAGCTTGGTCAAATAATTTAACTTTTCAGAGTCCAAGTCTCCTCTTCTATAAAATGAGGGTAACATCATTTTGGAGCATTAAATGACAGGGTGAAGGGAAAGCTCTTAGCAGAGAGCATGGCTCATCTCAGGCGCCCAGTGTGCTAGGTGTTGGGGTTGTCAAGATGAAGCAGCTATGATCCTGTCCTTCATCCTTGAAGGACATATACACAGACAGACACTTAACGATCGAGTGACAGTGCTGTCACAGTTCTCTATACTTAAGCCTCTTGTAGACCAAACAGCAATGGCACCCAGGTTGGGCAGAGCCTCCTGTTCTCCACTGTCCCTCCCGTTCCTCAGGGGCCTCTCGTGGTCTCCTGTTCTTACTGTACACTCTCTTCCCAAGTGCTCTCATCCACTTGTATGGCCAGGAATGCCATCTTTAGGCTGAAAAAATTTTATCTCTAGCCGAGACCTAACACATCCACTTGAATGTTCAATAGACACTTTAAATTTAATACATCAGAAACTAGACACTAATCTTTCTATGTCCCTAAATAAACTGCTTCTTCACATTGGCCCAGCTCAATGGTGGCTCTAACCCACTTAGTTACTCCAGTTACTCATGATAAAAAACCGGGCCATTCTTGACAATCCCCCTCACTTATTCCCCAAACCATGTTCTTTCTCTCATCAAAATACTTCTTAAATCCATTCACTTTCTTCCACCTCTTCTTTAACCCACCTCTTCTTTAACCACACTAGTATAAACCATCACTGTCTCTTACCTCACCTCCTATACCTTCTGCTAGAACTACCTAACAAGCCTCCTGGATCCCCTCTTATCCTTCTTCCCTTCCTTGTTCTTCATCCAAATCTTTTGAAAATGCAAATTTTATTGACAGGAAATTCCCAATTGGCTTCCCATTGTACATAACAGTCTAAATCTCTCACCATGGTCCACAAGGCCTGGATGACATGGCCTCCACTTGTTGCTCCCCAGCCTTCAGCAACACAGGCTTCCATTCAGTTTCTACAAGGCACAGCGTTCTTCTCCTGCAGGCCGTGGAGGCTTGGGAGAAAGCCTCCATGCTCTTCTCTTCCTTGAACAAACCCCACTTCTCCCCCTTGGCCTACCTAACCCATGTCTCATTTTGGCTCTCTTCTTAAATATCATTTCTCACAGAAAGTTTTTTTTTTTGCTCTTATCCAAATCACCTTTCTTTTTTTCCTCCCCTCTGTTTATAATTTTAAAATATCAATTTATTTTGATGGTTACAGAGAGTTTTTCATAAGGGTAGAAACGATGTCAAATGTGTTCCCTGATATTTTGTCCCTTGTTATAGCTCTTATATCCAATATGGTTTGCTGGCATAGTAAGAACTCAGTTAACATCCTGGCTGCAGAGAAGATTTTATAGTTGTTATGGGCTGAATACTTGTGTCCCCTAAAAATTTCTATGTCAAAGCTCTAACCCCCAATTTGAAAATATTTAACGGTGGGGCCATTGGGAGGTAATTGGTTTTAGATTCCGTCATGAGAGTCAGAGCCAGGAGGATTAGTGCCCTAATAAAAAGAGAAAGACAAGGATACTTCTCTCAAAGCACACACACACAGAGCTAAGGCCAAGGAGCAGGCCCTCACGAGGGACCAAATCTGCTATCTGCTTGGTCCTGGATTCTTCAACCTTCAGACTGTGAGAAGTAAATATCTGTTATTTAAACCACCCCGTTGTTGGTATTTTGTAATAGCAATCCAAGTGAATCAAGATAGGTGTTTGGGGCTTCAAAATCTCATAGCATCAGAACCTTTTGGTGTGGAGCCAAGAAATCTGCATTTTTAAATAACTCTGCAAGTAATTTCTATTTAGAGAGCCCAGTTCTGATGCTTGGAACCTGCTAGACTAGAGAAAGGTGCCCAGGATTAGAAATCAAAAGGTGGAGGTGTGAATTCTGCTCCAAATTATTGGGTATGGCATTTGGGAAAGTCATTTAATATATCTGATCTTCAGTTTCTTTTTCTATAAACTTGGACTAATAAAAACAGCAGCTTCTAAGTACAGATGTGAGGCTCCAAGGCACAATATGTTTTCAAACACCCTGTAAACTGCACAGTAAAGAAGTGTTAGACTTTTTACTTGCTCAGGTCTCTTCTACATAGTGCTTGCCTCATCATCTCTGACAATCTCCCTGGTGCAGCCCACACTGCTCCAAAGAGATAGCATCCCTCTTCTCATCCTTCTGAGGAAGGACTAATTACAATAATTCAATGAGCCTTTTGCTTTTCCCAAGTTCTGGGCCATGATTACTGAGATACACATCATAACACACCCACAGCCTTACCGGCCCATTTGCTGTTGGGGAAGAAACTGAGCCCAGGCAGCCACAGCAGAGCCAGAGCAGAAAGCTTGGCCTCTCTTCCCCGGCGACAGCAGGACCGTGTCTCTGAAAAGGAGCAAGGAAAGGCTATAGCCAGGAATGAGAGGACCTCTGAGCATTTTCTTTCTTTTAAAAAATATATTTTATTGATTTTTTTTAAAGAGTGGAAGAGAGAGGGATAGAGAGTTAGAAACATTGATGAGAGAAACATCCATCAGCTGCCTCTTGCACACCCCCTACTGGGGATGTGCCTACAATCAACGTATGTGCCCCTGTCTGGAATCAAACTTGGGACCTTTCAGTCTGCAGGCCGAGGCTTTATCCACTGAGCCAAACCGGTTTTGGCTCTGAGCATTTTCTTGATGGACACTAACATGCTGAGACCCTTTTAAGCTTCACTATTTTGGGAAATGGCAAAATCAAGAAAATTGAATTCCTTAGTAAAGATGTCATGAAAATAAAAAGAATTCTCAAATTTAAGCGATTTGCTGTGTGAATGTAGGAAAGTCCTCTCGTCTCCTTGGCCCTCGGATACTTAATATGTGAAACAGGTGGTTGGACCAGATGAATGAATGAATGAATGAATGAATGAGACTCCTTTTTGTTTTGGGATTTGGAGCAAACACCCAGTCACCCAAGCCAGATACATATCTTTATTCAATGATTCCTCTCAGGTTGTTCTAATTTCTCTTATCTTCCCTCATATCTCCATCCCCACTGCACTGAGGTGATTCAGCCCCTCATTATTTCTCACCTGGACTCTCTCTTCAGCTCCCAACAGGCCTGTCTCCTTTCATTCACTATATTCATCCATGCATGCACTTACCTGCAAAGCACTGAATAAGTATCTTCTATGTATTAGGCATTGTCCCAGTCCCTGGGAGTTCCCGCCTTCATGAAGCTTGCACTGTAGCTGGGAGAAATGACAGAAAAACTAGTTAACAAGTATATATGGCACTTTCTTTGAGGCAGTGGAAAGTGTTATCAAGAAACATAAAGTTGGGTGAAGAAATAGAGTGGCCAAGGGAGGGGGGGTGGTTTCTATTTTGTTTAGGAGAGCCAAGCAAGAACTGTCTGAGAAGGACACATTTTAGTAGGAATCAGATGTAGTGAGGGAGTGTGCTCTTCATTGATGAGCAGCGGACAGGGGAAGATCGGGCAGAATATCATTCCAAGCAGAAAGGGGAAATATGTACAAATGTCCTGAGATATAGACAACTTGACATATTCTCAGAATAACAGAAGAAAACCAATGTACCTGGAACGGGGTGAATAAGGGGAAGAATTTTAAGAGATGGGTTTAAGGAGTAGGCATGGGCCAGGAAAATGTGAGAGAAAGAGAGATATTAAGGATGACCATGTGACTTTTGGCTTAAGTAACTGAGAAAATAGGGGTGCCATCCACTGGGTGTGGAAGACTTGGGAAGAATGTAGATGGATGAAACTATAATATTACAACTTCTGTTTCCACCAATTTTGATAGGTTCATTTGAAAACCAAGTGCACATAACAAGTAAGATGTTGGATAAACATGCCGGAAGCTCGGGGGAGAGGTATGGGCTGGAGGCACGAATTGGGAGTATCAGGTGTTACTGAAAGCCAGGCTAGAGAGAACATACATGAGATGGGAGAGATAGGACCACTGACCATGGGGAACTACAATAATCAGAAAACTGGAAGAGAAGCACCCAGAGAGGGAGCAGCTGGAGAAGGGAGAGGAACACCAGGAGAGCATGGATGTGGAAGCCACGACAAGAAAGCCTATTAAGCAAGTGAAAATAGCCACTGTGTCAAGTGCTGCTGTTTTTAAATCACTTCACATTTCTTGGATTATTGAGGGATTTGGATATATTTCTTACATCTTTTTAGTATTCCTACTTACTATGCTTTTTTTTTTTTTTTTTTTTTTTTTTTTTTTTTTTGCTTTTTTGCTTCTTTATTTCTCTTCTGATAGAAATCCAATTTGTAACTGGTTTATAGGGACTCTCAAATTGTTGGGTAGAGAGACATGGAATGGTTTTACTTTCTCCAGCTGGTGCTTCCAAATGACACTATGTTGATTCCCTGCTCCCACCGGGTAGTAGCTCCCTTAATGGAGTCTTGGCCAGACTGCTTACTTTTCAATAGCACAGTTTAATTCTGTTTTTCAAAACCTCAATTCTGTTTATTTAAAAATAAAGGGTTTTAGAATAGCATACCTTTTGTTTTTAGAAATTGTTGTAATTGTCAAACGTGCAAAACCAGAGAAATTCTGTTTATTGTAAACCTCAGTCTCCTCTCCAGTTCACAACTCTCCTCTCCAGTTCACAGCTCTCCTCTTCTGGGGGCTGTTTATTGTAAACCTCAGTCTCCTCTCCAGTTTACAGCTCTCCTCTCCAGTTCACAGCTCTCCTCCTCTGGAGGCTGTTTATTGTAAACCTCAGTCTCCTCTCCAGTTCACAGATCTCCTCCTCTGGGGACCGTGCTGCCCTGCTGTCTAGGGACTCCTTCCCAGCTGCCCCTCAGGACAACTGGAGATTTACTCATGCCTTCTGCCCCTCCCCACGGGTGATGCCATGCATTCCTCAGATGACTGGAACTCTCTCTTCATCCTCCACACTTTCCTGGCATTGAAAATACCACAGCTCCCATTACCAGTTTTCTCTCCCTGTCCCCTTTCCTCCACACCTCTCAGATTTCTAATTTTGTCTTATTTATTTATTGACTTTCTCCTTTATTTTTCAATGTATATTTGAGTGCCTACTATGGGTCAGGCATTTGGCTTGAAGAGTTGAGCAGAGAGGCATGCTTCTGCCTTTATGGAGCTCAGATTCCAGCAGGGAAAATAGGCATTATGTAAAGAACGATACTAAAACCTGCTGCTTTATTATAGGCTTCATACACCTCCATACTCACCTTATAAAGTAAGTTTAGGCATCACTTCCTCCAGGCAGTCTCTCCAGTTTCTCCAGGCTGTGCTAGGTACCCTCTTCCGTGCTCTGTTGACGTCCTGTAAAATCTCTCCCATAGCATTTCACACACGGTGATGTCACTGTGGACCTGCCTGTCTCCCCCGCAATAAGTGGTGAGCTTCTGAGAGGCAGATATTATCTCATTGATTTCTTAATTTCTAGCCCCGTTCCCTGCACATAGCAGATTCCAACAAAGGCTAAGTAAAACCCTGACTGAATAAACATTTTCTTTATAACACTTTCTGAACAATATGACAAATAAGCCAAAAATAAAGACACAGGCCAAATATCACCTTTGTTACTGATAGATGGAGAATGTAGCTTTGTTCAAACCATAGCACTAGGCAGATACCTTCCCAGGTGAGGGTTGTGGAGGGAGAACCACAGCAGCATGTGGCTCCTGGTGCAGGTTTGTTCCCCAGGAGAAGATAGCAGAGCTGAAACGAGCCTGCCCAGTTATTCTCCCAATGTTACCATGGGAGAAATCGCCCCCCTCCCAGAGGCAGAGAGAGTGAAAACAGGAAAAGAGGTTGGCACATAGAGGCTACACGAATTTGGCTTGTGCAGGAAGAAAACGCCAGGTATGAGCAAAAATATGTTCCCCATGACTAACTCCATTGTATCAAACACTGTGGAAGTCTATGACAGATCGTCCAATCCTTATCAAAGCAGACAGAGGTAGGTATCATTCCCACTTCGCAGAAGCGGAAGCCAAGATTCATAATAATGAAGTCACTTATCTAAGTTTGCCAATCAAGGAAGTGGTTGAGCCAGGATTCGATTGTATTGTTGATAATTACGGCTGAGATTTGTTTGGGTGCTTATTGCATGCTGGGCCCTGGAATAAGTACCTTAACACATCTAACCTCCACAACAACCCTATGAAGTAGGTAATGGTTTTTATTCCATTTTGGAAATAAGGTCATTTAGGCCAAGGTCACCAGCTCAGGGCTAAGATTCAAACCAGGATCTGTTCTCCAAAATTTCCTATCATTCCTGCCTCAAGGAAAACATGTAAACAAGTCAACCAATGACCTACACACATATTGCATCCTCTAAGACAGAAAGCTGGTTTCTAGAACTGGAACTCCAGGGTTGGGGTTTGAATGTTGCTACCTGTCAGCAGTGTGATTCTGAGCTGTGACCTTGGTTTACTTACTGCTGATGGGAAATACTAATACCCCATCACAGAGGGGCAGATATGAGACAGCCAGTGTGTGTCCCTACTGGTCAGACATGCGTGGGTTAAGGATTTGGGTGACGTGACCTGTCATATCTCAGGCAGGAAGCAGGCTGGGTGTTTATCTCGATCCTTTGGAGGGTTGGGTTCTCTCTGGGTGTTTGTGTTTGTTTGTTTGTTTGTTATGGCTACTATCAGTGCCTTGCCCACTCTGACATGATGGGATGCCTAAGGCCCCTCTCTTAGGGAAGTGGCACTGGGGTCTTGTGAGAGAGAATGAAGAACAAACCCTAGGCTGGAGGAGGGGCAGGGGAATGGGGAAACTGGGGTTGGTCTACTTGCTTCTCAGAATATCAGGTATCTCCCTTAATCCTCTCAGAGAACAGAAGTGAGGAAAGCAAAATGAAACAGCAGCCAAGAGGAGGAAGGGAGTGGGTCCGGAGCTGGTAGAGAAGGAGCAGAGAGGGTGAAGGGTGAGGGCACCTCCCCGACTCTGCAGGTGGTCCATTCTACACAAAGTGTGTCCACACAGAGGGGAAAGGGGCAAATTATGGATGCTGAAAGTCGGGTGCCCATTTGGTAATATTATGCCCATTTATAAGGTAAAGAGCCCGAGGCCCTGCCTGAGGTCCTCAGCTAGGGTGAAGGAGAGGCTGAAATTTGGGCTAATCTGACCCCCACACCAAGGACCTCTTTTACCTGCATCCTTGGTACTGAAAGTGTTACCAAGGACCAGCAGTGCCCTCAGGGTTTGTCTAGGTCTCCAGACCAGAATCTGCCTTTTAGCAAGATCTCCATTGACTGGGATGTCCATTTACATTTGAGAAGCCCTGTCCTACACCATCTAGGTTACCTCAGAGTTCCTTCTAATCCCAGGTTGCCTGCCTTCCATCACTGGCAGATATGCCAACTGTCACCCCAGCAGGGGCCTTTGCTCCTTGCCTTGGCCCTGGGCCCTCCAGGTAGCTGGGCTCTTGGCTCTGTTTCTTGTCCTGTCTCCAGCTCAGCTGGTAGGGCCCTCAGGGCACATACGTGTAGTCCAGGATGCTGTCCACACAGCAACACCAGTGCCTTCATCTCTGCTGTTGCCTCTGAGCCTCCTGTCATTCTCATCTTCCCAGCAACTCCTCAGAGTAGGTATTGCTATATGGTCAATAAGAAACATGCTTCCCAAGTTCTCAGAGCTAATTAAGTTCAAGGTAAGAGGTCCTCCTAAGGATTCCCTTTTTCTCTTCTCCCCCTTTCCCAAAAGAAAACCTCCTCGCCAGTTTGGAGGTGGTGAGACATGGATGTAGTGTACCGGTTAGTAAATTGGATTTTGTAATCTAAGAAAACATGATAATTTCCAGAGAAACATCAGTAGTGCTTTATTCACAGTAATGTCCATTGCTAGCTACACATTTCCCCCATCTTTCAGGTAATCTATAGATACAGTCCCAATAGAACTTTTCTTGTTTTAGTCAAACTATTCAGAGACCCAATTTTCTACTCTTTCGTACGTTTTGAAGTGCTGCTCAGAAAGTGCGTGTGTCATCAATCGGAAGTGGTAATCTGAAGGAGTGAGGTCTGGTGAATACAGCAGGTGGGATAATACTTCCCAGACAAGATCTTTTAACACGTCCTTAACTGGTTTTGAAGTGCATGATGGTGTGTCATCATGAAGCAAAATTACTTTGCCTTGTCTTCTGACCCATTCTGGTCATTTCATGATCAAAGTGTAGTTAAAATGGATTATTTGCTGTTGGTAGCGATCAGTATTAATGGTTTCACCTGGTTTTAGAAGCTCATAATATACACACCTTCCTGATCCCACCAAACGCAGAGCATTGTTTTCTTTCCGAAGCGATTTGGCCTTGCAGTCGATGTTGATGGTTGACCTGGATCAATCCATGATTTTGTGTGTTTGGGATTCTCAATATAAATCCACTTTTCATCACCAGTCACAATTTGATGCACAAAAAGACTTTTGTGCCATTGAAGTAACATTTTATTGATGATGTTTTGGTTTTCTATTTGTCTTTCATTCAGTTGATGTGGCATCCATTTTCCTTCCTTTAAAATCTTTTCCATTGCTTATAAACAATTGAAAATTGTTTGCTGAGCAACATTTAATCTTTCTGCAAGTTGTTTTTGAGTTTGACATACATCTTCATTCAATAATGCTTGTAACTGTTGATCTTCAAACTTTTTTGGTTGACCTGGACATTCTTTGTCTTTCACATCGAAATCATCACTTTTAAAGCATTTAATTCAGTGTTCACAAGTATTTTGAGATGGAGCATGTTCACTATAAGCTTCCCGAAGTATACACTAACTTTCAGCAGCACATTTTTTCAAAATAAAGTAATGAATTAAAACTTCCCACAAATGCTCTCTTTTTTTTTTTGAATGAAATTCAACATTTTTAAGCGTAAAAATATCTATGATGTTAACACCTTCAGAAAATTTGACATGAAGTTTTGAAGCTTGCTGTCAATACAACAAAATAGTATAAATATCAAATTGCATATATATCAACATATGTGTAACTCCATCTATTGAAAAAAATGTGCATTATCAACCAGTACACCTGTTCACATATTTTAAATGCATGAAATTGTTGCCAGACACAGTCTTCTGTGATTGCCCCTGGCCTTCATGTACCCTAGTGCTCCAGGGAAGGTGGCCAGGCCTGAGGCAGGCCCTCCTCTGCTGGCCATATCTCTCATCCTTCTAGCCGAGGGCCCAGAGGGGAGACCAGCAGCCTTAGTCTCCAACCTCAGCTGTCACTCACCTGCAGTGTGACTTTGGGAAAGTTAGCCCATGTGTGTGAGGCACAGCCCTCAGGACCCCACACAAAGACACCAGTTCCTGTTGTTCTCTGGACCTCAGTTTCTCCGTATGAACATTGAAGGTGTTCTGTTGGATTCAGTTATTTTCAAACTGTGGTCCAAAGAGTTTTGGGGATATCAGCTAGAGTTCGTCCTGGGTTTGCGTTGAGGTGGGGAAAAGAGAGCCAGTGGGTTCAGGGCTGCCCCAGATTTCAACCAGAACTGCCAGCTTTTCTCCATTTTACATGCCAGCTCCTCATGAACCTTGCTCTAAATCCAGAGTGGGGCAAAGGCAGTTTAGAGTGTATGGAAAATAATATCATAATTAATAAATAATAATTCAAAAATAAACTCTGTTTCATGTACTCACGACTGTAAACCCATTTTGCCCCACATTGTATGTTTTATTGTTGTTTTTCATCTAAAATAATTTGAAAGCCATTGAGCTGAATATTCTGTGAGGTACTATTAGGCTAGGACAACTGGTGCCAGGTCTGGTGTTCATGACTTCAGATTTATTAATTGGGGCACGGAATGCATATTTGCTGAGTACCATTGTGTCATTCACTCACTCTGTGATGTGCCCTGGCCGCTGTTTACAATGTTCACTTTTGGCTGCTGCAGGGGGAACAGACAACAGGGTCATGTGTGTGACAGCTCAAGCCTTTCTCTGTAGCAACAGATCCCGACTCTTTGCTGGGCACTGAGCTGTTCAGAACAAAGCCTGCATCTCCCAGTCTCCTGGGGTGAGTCTCCCAGGTGTGACTCACCCATTACTCTATGCTTTTTCTCATGCCACACATATAAACAAACACATTCATGCAGATTTAGGTGTGGCTATTTGACCCGATGCATTCGAATGAATTTGTAGGCCATGCAGTTTTTTTTTTTTTTTTTAAAAAAAGGTGTGTGTGTGTCATCCCTTTCTTCAGTTCTTCCTTCCAAATGAACAGAATGCAGATAGGG